GGGAGCGGAAGACCCGGGTTTGCCGGGACTCGGGTTCGCCATCGTTTTTTGACGACCGCGACTCGGATTTTGACGAGGAGGAGTTTCGTGGGATGTCTGCAGCGGGAGGCCTCGTCAAAATGCAGGCTCGGCCTCGTCATTTTTTTGACGACCTCGTCGGGGATTTCCGAGTCCCCCGTACCCGGGTCTTACGTCTCCCCGAGAGAGCACGAGTCCTGAGAAATGGTGAGGAAGTCTTCGGGCAAGAAAGCGGTTCATGGACGTCGAGGGCGCAGCGCCTCTCAGTACACTGTCAGAGAGGCCGAGGCGGCAGCGTGATTCTTGAGGTTAAGTTGTGGCGAGATCGGGCGAGAACGCCGTCTCGAAATAACGCTAGGTCGGGCCTGTCCCTCTACAGGGGGGGGGGGGGAATATTCAAAAATAGTTTTAAAAAAAAATAGCCTGGGACGCTTTTTTTGACAATGTTTGAACATGTTTGGGATACCCACTGGGTATTTTTTTTTCCGTCCAAAATCCGCTTGTAGGGGGACACGCCCGACCTGATGGAAGTGTCAGGAGGGCGCCGTCGTTGCTGCAGTTCAGGGGCAAACGCCGCAGCTTGAGGCTCCTGCCTTTCTCCGATGAAAGCAGGGTGCGAGCCACAGGGGGCGCTTGAATTGCAAACCGCAGTGGGCACGCGGCAGGGAGGATGTACAGCAATGATTGTTCGGGAGTGGGGTTCCAGACCCCAGCACAGCCACGCACCCAGGAATCGTTTCAGACCACTCATCCCCTTCTGGTGTCACACCGCAGGGGGCTCTTTGATTCTAGTTGTCTGGGGGGTGGATGGGGCGCAAGAGAATTCGTGGGGACGGGGCGCAACAATGTGCAGTTGTCTTTCGACTGATGTTCGGGATTCGGTGTGGCGTTGTTCGAAGTGTCACCGTGCCTCTAGCGCTCGTATTTCTATGCACCCTGCTGCCAGTACTATTGGTATTACTGCTGCGAATATTCGTATACTTGCTACTGCCAGTCCATCCTCACGGTACGTGATGTCATACGCTCACACCCACTACTAAAACGATTGTTGATTTTTTGCAACAGTTACCATTCACCCTTGACTCTCCCCCAGTGCGGTTTTCCCGAAGACAAATTGCAAGGCGTTTGGTTGTCCGTGACAGCCCAAACTGACGCACGGATTACTGATGTTTGCGAAGCTACAAGAAACTCGATTTTCCCTGGCGGCCTGCTAAGGGAAACAGAGTCCGCCAGGGAAAAAAACAAGTTACTATAAGAAAAGGTGGAAACCCATTTGTTTTCACAGGGTGTGCCTCGGTTTCAAGCCTCGGTGACACTTGATGGCATGTGGGGACAATGAAGAGGAGAGGTCACGAGGCGGACGGCAAGAGTGTAACGGAGCACGGGTGTGAGAGTAATGACGATGAGGGCGAATATGAAGATGAACAGAGAGAGAGAGAGGAGAGAGAGAGAGAGGGAGGAGAGGATGACAATGCCAGTGAGTATGGTGAGGGTGAGCATGAGAGTGCAGATCGGTGAGGGCGTTGAGGATCCGTGCGATGAGGATGAGTGGGTGCGCGGCTTAGGACAGCGGTTGGAGAAAAGATGGCAGCGGTTCTGATGAGGGTGGTTGGGTGGTCGCCCTCTTCTTCTTCTTCTTCTTCTGCGCGGGGCGGCCGACATAGAGCAAGGAAACACCCATGTTGTGGGGGGAGCACGGAATTAGCGCGTGGTTCTCCCAGCTGTTCGACTGGTGAAGTTTGATGGTGACGATTTTGAATCGGGCCGAACGGGGGAAGCCATTGACAAGCAGGGCACAGGAGCGAGGCAGGAACAGTCGGAAACCAGGGCTTCATCAAGGAGATCCCTAACAGCCAGAGCACTGGACCTAAACGGCTCCTCATTCTCCTCCTCGTCCTCCTCCCCCTCCTCCTCCGCCTCCTACACTTGGGAACATCGCCCAAGCAAAGAGACCAGCAGCGGCCCCCAACCTCGGTTGGGCACCTCGGCCTGCCGCGGGGCTGTCTTTGCCCGGACCCCGCTGGCCGCGAGTGTTCTTCGGACGATCCTTCTTTTCCCGCCCCTCCCCCCGCGGGAAGGAGGGAAGGGAAGAGAGTTGAGGGGAACGGAAGGAGGGGAGGGGAGGGAGAGGGAGGGAGGGAGCGAGGGAAGGGGAGGAGAGGGGAAGGAGAGAGAGAGGAAGGCAGGGTTAGGTAGCGTGGGTCCAAGAGAAAGCGGAGGAAGATGGGAAAGATGAGGAAGACGAGTGGGGGAAGCAGCAGCAGCAGCAGGAGCCGGAATGGAGGGAGCCAGAGGTAGAAATCAATACGCCAGCCACGCCCTGCATACCCGCTGGGAGGATTCCTGGACAGCGAAGCAGATCGACGCCATGGAGAAATCAGGTGGCAACGGTAAGATGATTGAGTATTTCAGGCGAGCGCTGATGGTTTGTTGTCCATGTCTTGTTTGTTTGTGTTCCCGCAGTTGTGCACGCATGATTGGGTTCACGAGGCCACCAGGATAATGAAAGTATTTTGGTGCACTGGAGGCGGCGATTCCGTGTTCAATGTGATATATACATAATATGCAAATAACGGGGCGTGTCAAAAAGGGCCTTGCATTCGAGGATCGAAGGACTTGTCATCTCTTCCGCGGCGGAAGGCGGCGGAAGGGCGGCGGAAGGTCGGTGGTGGAAGTAAAACGAGGCCGCCTCCGCCGGCGGAAGCCGGCGGAAGGGCCGCTGAAGGTGGCGGAGTTAAAAAACGCGCGCCAAGAGATGGAATGTGAGTCCAGGCTATCCGAGATCTTCCACATACATATGTATATATATACATGTGTATATATATACATGTATATCACATGTGCATGAATACACATATATATATATGTATATATGTATATCCCGGGGGACGTGGACGGGGGGGTCCCGCCCAAGAACCTCGGCGGCGCATGGGGGGCCCGGGGCTTTAGTTTCTCTATATTTCTCTATATTTCTACACGGTTTCGGCGACCCGGAGCCAACAGAGCCCCAAGAGGCTGCAGGGAATTCCAGGGGTTGCTCCCGCCTGGTGCCCCAGGTCTCCCACAGGCCTCCCAGAGGCTTCCAGGAAAGCTCCCCAAATCTCAAACAGTTGGATTCTTTTTTACGTTTTTCTCCATGCAGCCTGTTCTGCATCCCCACGCGGCACGGCAGCCCCAGAGGACGCCCAGACCGTCCCGGTTCGGCCCCAGAGGCTCCCAACCTTGTCCCCTGACGGCGCCGCATGGGAGGATCGGCGCGCACTTTCCTTATGTGTTTCTTACAAGGTTTCGGCGACCCAGAGCCCACAGAGCCCCAAGCGGTTGCAGGGAACTCCAGTGGCTGCTCCCGCCTGGTGCCAGAGGCTTCCCACAGGCCTCCCAGAGGCCTCCAGGAGAGCGTCCCAAATCTCAAACACTTTGTTTTCCCATAAGGTAGTTTTTTTCTACGTTTTTCTCCATGCAGCCTGTTCTGCATCCCCACGCTGCATGGCAGCCCCAGAGAACGCCCAAACCGTCCCGGTTCGGCCACAGAGGCCCCCAACCTTGTCCCCAGATGGTTCCGCATGGGAGGATCGGCGCGCCCCAGTAGGGTCACAGAACGGCCAGGGACGCTCTAAGATCCTTGCGACGCCGACGATCACCCCAAGACAGCCCCCCGAACGACATCGTCGACACGTCATGCTTCCAAGAGGCCTCCCCTGAGGGCTCTCTGAAGCCTTACTCCTTTTTTTTTTTTGCCATGTTTTTGTCCACGTTTTCACTCATTCAGCTTGTTCTGCATCCCCACGCCGCACGGCAGCCCAGGAGGACGCCCAGACCGATGTGGTTCGGGCCCCTGGGGCTCCCAACCGTGATCCAAGACGGCTCCGCATGGGAGGACCAGCGCCCCCAAATAGGCTCCACGAGCCGCCAGAGTCGCTTCCAGGCCTGCGCGACGCCGACGATCGCAGACATCCCCCCGACCAACTTCGTCGACACGGCATGCTTCCAAGAGGCCTCCCTTGAGGGGTGATCCTGCAGTTCTGCACCAGCATCGCCGGCGACCCCATGGCTTGCGTGGGCGCCCGCACGCCCTTGGTGGCTCGTCGCCTGGGGGGGTCGCTCGCAGGGTTTTGTTCGCGGTCGAGGTTTTCAGTCGCTGCCCAGCGTTATCCACCGCCGCGCGTCCTCACATAATGGATGTTCTCCTCTTTGGTAGACTCCAGGGGCCGCAAAGCGACGCGCTGCGACGACCCGTCCAGCGTCGCCTCTGGCGTCCCATCTCTCATCTCCGTGGCCTTGGTGCGATGCTGGCGCCGCTCTGCACTTACAGCAATGCGCACTGGCCCGTGATGCGCAGCTGGCAGTGCATGGAGGACCTTCCCAGGCTCTCAGCTTCCCTTCAGAACACATGTTAACAACGGCACATCGTTGGTGCGACTTACCTGTGGCCTGCGCTTGTGAGCGAGCAAGAACGGAGTCCCGCGGGCAATCGAGAACCCCCAGTCGAGTCTCACTTGGCACGCACTTGAGTTCCAGAAGCGGAAGCTCTCTTCCCATATGTCTTCCGTCATGACTCACACTTGTGGTTTGGGGGCCCGCCGGAAGAAACCCCGCAACGTTGTAGGCTTGCGGACTGGATGCGTTGCAACACATGGAGTCCAGATGTCAAAGCTTCGGTTGTACACCATGCGAGTACGTTGGTACGCCTCATATTGTGCTGTCCCGCCCCGATTCCTTTAGTGTGCGATGGACAAACGGGCCGCCGCGTGTCTTGACACATGTGTTACGATCCTGGTTGCCCCTTTACGGATGTGGCGTTTAATCGGGCGCGAGTGGCGCGATGGGTGAAGAAACAGTTCAAGCGGGGACACCGCTGAACCGCAAACATGTTTGGCGAAACTTGTTGGTTTATAGATTGGCTTCGCCCCGGCACGGCCTGCTTGGTTTGACCCTCGCTCCACCTTCGCAGTTTCGGATGTTCGACAGGAGCGGGCACAAAACAACATAACGGCATGATTGATCCTCCCCTCCTCCTCCTCCTCCTCCTTCTCCTCCTCCTCCTCCTTCTCCTCCTCCTTCTCCTTCTCCTCCTCCCCCTCCTCCTCCTTCCCCTTCTTCTGATCCTCATCTTTACAATTCGCGCTGGGCTTCCCTTCCACCAGTTCGCGGGGTATCGACAAGAGCATGGCCATCCACACGAAGTACAACACGAAGCAGGCCACCGGCGCTTATTTGGCGTTGCTGGCGATGGGCCCAGGAGAAGCGAAGACAAGAGAGGAGAGAGGGGGGGGGGGGGGGGCGAATCGCATATATGGTCCAGGGTTAAGTCGGGCCTGTCCCTCTACAGGGGGAATATTCAAAAATAATAAATCAAAGAATAGTCGGGGGACGATGTTCTACCATTTTAGAGCGTTTTGTTTTGCATATTTTTAGAATATCTTTAATTTTTCGCCCCAAATCGGCCTGTAAGGGGACAGGCCCGACTTAGTTCCAGGGCCCCGGCCCTCCCCGCCGTGCTAGTGGGATCCCCCTTGCCCGAATGGATCCCCCATGCACACCCCGCCCCGTGGCTGTGGGGTGGTGCTGCTGCGGATTCGTCCTCACCGCCGCCGTCGTCGTCGATCCCCTGTGGGCGTGGCGTGGCTTCGCAGGGCCTCAGCGAGCGGGGGAGCGTCGTCGACGTTGCCGTCGTCGTCGTTCTCGCAGTCGCAGTCGTCGTGGTCGTGGTCGTCGTGGGCGTCGTCGTCGTACCCCCCCATCCCATCCTGCCGGGGGGGGCGGCCGTGGGGCCGTGGAGCCGATCCCATCTGGGGGGGGAGGGGGCTGCGGCCCAGAGCCCTGGAATGTATATGTCAGTCTGTCCTGTAGTGATACAGCTCACCTGCCCGTCAACATTCAGCGAGCGAAGAACGGTATAAAATAAACTTTTTCGCCGTCGGGGACACCTGCCCCTGGGCGGCTGGAAAGTTTATACCCCTACGGTGCCACCGTAAGGGTATAAACTTTCCAGCCGCCCAGGGGCAGGCGCCCCCGACGGCGAAAAAGTTTACTTGATACCGTTCTTCGCCCGTTAAAACATCCTGGAGCCGAAGCCAAGGCGAAGAAACACTCATCTTCAAGAACGCCCGCAGGACGATGGATAATGACGCCGTGCGGATGTGCATCTAACCGCACGCATTCGCGTAGCAGGTGGACGCTTACGCATAATGCTGAGGCGCAACTTGCCATGTGCACTTGCACATGTTCGTGAGGGCGCGCGCGTATGCCCATTGACCGCGTATGGTTGCAGTTTAAGGAAGTGGCACGTGCGTATCTGCACGATGGGGTCAATACGCGGGCCGAATGCCACGGGAATTTCTTGGAATGACCACGAGCCATACACAGCTCGACACGCCAAGCGCCCCTCAGGCAGTTTCATGCCGAAAACGCCGACAGCGAGCTGCCGCCTCCTTGCGCCTTCTGGAAACGCCTATGTGGCCACACGTTGGGCCAAAGCCTGGCCAAGCTACGGTGGTGGCGTTCGTTAAGTGTTGCGCCCAGGGGGGGTCAGACCCTGCGGGGGTCCTTATCTGATGAGGGCGGCGGTGATATCCATGGCCAATCCACGATCGGAGTTCCACTGGCTTCGAGACCCTGGATTCCTTGCCCATTGGTTCCTTATCCAATGCCCCCACCGTGTTGGTTGGACTGGTCGCTCCCCTTGGACAGTGTGGGAGTCTGGCCAAGCTCTTGGACTGGTTGCTCCCCCTGGACAGTGTGGAAGTCTGGCCAAGCTGCTGGACTGGTTGCTCCCCTTGGACGTTGTGGAAACCCTTGGCGGGACGCTTCTCTGTACACTCGAGGCGATGCTTAAGAAAACCAGAGTTTTCGGCCAGAGTCTCGATTATTCTTAAGGTTTCAATGTAAATCCCAAGATTTGGATATACATTCTGGGTTTTTATTAAAATTCTGAGACTATGAATTTCTTAACCCATGATTTCTAAAGCATTTCGCAGGGTGCCACGCGAAATGGTTAAGAAATCATGGGTTAAGAAATTCATGGTCTCAGAACTTGAATAAAAACCCAACATGTCTATCAAAATCTTAGGATTTACATTGAAACGTTAAGAATAATCGAGACTCTGGCCGAAAACTCAAGTTTTCTTAAGCATCGCCTCATGTGTAGGCAGCCGCCGGCGATCGCACGCGCGTCTCTCGAGCCGACGGGCCGCGCTGGGCACCAGGCACACCGGGGCGGGCGG